ATATTCTATTATAGAATATTTCTTAAAGAAAAATATAATAAAATATAATATATTTTTATTATTATATTATAATAATATTTTAATAAATATATAATTAAAAATATTAATTTCTAGAATTATATTTTTTAATTAATTAAAAAATTTTAATATTAGAATATTTATAAAAGTAACTTTTAATTATTTAAATATTTTTTAATAAGTAAGTATTTAATTAAAGCTAATATTCTTTTTAATTAAGTTAACTAATAGTCTAATAATTTTTAAAAAATTATAAATAAATTAGTAGTAAAAGTTCCTAAAGCTAATAAAGACTTAAATATTAATTAGATAAGTTAATATTTTTTACTTAATAATTATTTTTACTTTATTAAAGTTTATTTAAAAGCTATCTTTACTTATAATTAGTTTTAGGAACTTTATTTTATATATAAAAAATTTATATTTACTAAATTTAGTATAAAATTCTATTACTTATAGATATTCTAATACTTATTAGATATAATAAATATATTTAGTATAAATTTAGCTATAAATTAGAATATTATCTAAATATATAATATAGAAAATATCTAAATAATTATATAGGACTTTATTAATAAATCTTTAAAATAATATTAAGACTCTAGTAAGTTTAAATAATATTATTAAGAATTTAAATAAGCCTAATTAAGTTTAAAAAATAATAAGATATTCTTATTCTTTCTTAATTTATAAATTATTAAAAGTAAAAATAATATTAATTTTTAAGAAATATTTTATTTTTTTTAAATTATTTAATATCTTTTTTATTAATAATAGTAAGTAATAATCTTTTATAATAATTATATTTAGGATTTAGTAATCTATATAGAATTATAAACTTTCTCTAGATTTCTTTATAAATAAAATAAGGAATATAGTAAGAAAGAAACTAGAATAAATAAAATCTTTTTTTAAATTCTTTTTAATCTATTTCTTTAAAACTTTTAGTTTATCTTAGAATATATTATATAGGCTCCTAAAAAATAGAATTTTTCTAGATAATAATTTAATCTTATAATTATTAGGTTAGTAGGGTAGTAGGTACTTAGCCTCCTTTAATAAGAATATATTATAGAATTTAGTAAATTTAAGGAGTAATTACTCTTATAGCTTAGATTTAATAATAATAATAGGATTTAGAATAACTTTAATATTAATAATAATAATAGTAAATATCTAGTATTTATAATAGGTATATATAATATAGGTAGTAATTAAAACTCTAGTAATATTTTAGTTCTTTAGAGATTTAAGGTAGGAATTAAAATATTAAAAAAAAGCTTTTAATAATATATTATATAATATTAAAATCTTTATAAATTTTAAAAATATATTATAGTACTTCTTATAATAAGAGCTTTTAAATAAAATAATATAATTAATAAATCTAATTTAAAGATTATAAGTCTTTAACTAAAATAAGTTAAGAATAATAAGAAAGTATATAAATTAGATTATAAGAAAAATAATATTTTTTTTAATATAATTATAAATTTTTTAAATTAAATAAATAAAATAAATAATATAATTAAATTTTATTAGAATATTATTAAATTCTTTTAATAAAATAGGATTCCTTAATAATAGTATTTTTAATTAATTATTTATAATTTAATTATAATCTATAAAATATTTACTCTTAATTCTAGAATTAATTATAGTAAAGATTAGTAAAGTCTTATTAAAAATTTTTAGATTAATAAATAAGATTATTAATTTAGATTAGTAATTTTTCTCCTTTATTATTATTCTAGCTATTATAATCTTTAATAGGTAGAGAGAATACCAGGGGTATCTTTAATTATAGCTTAGATTAGAGATACTCTATTTTCTAATTTAGGGAATATAAGGTATTTAGTAGGCAGGATTCTAGTTAATAGGGGGTATAGGTCTAGTTTAGTAATAAATATAGAGATATAGCTAGTTAGTCTTTAGTTAAGGTATAAGTAGCTACTTACTAAATAATTAGTACTGCTATAGTAGTAATATAAGTATTAGATTTAATAATTAAAGTAATAAATAATAGATAGATTTATTAAGTCTTTAGTAGGAGTAATAATAATAATAGAATTAATAAGGACTATAAGAATTTAGGTAGTAGGAGTTAGCTTTAAAATAGATTAGGGAGGCTAAGAATTCTTTATAAATAAGGATAAAGTAGTACTTATATAATAGTAGTAATAATTTTTTAGATTTTATAGGTAATTAATAAAATTATAATATTATAATAAAACTTTAAAATATATTAATATTTCTTAAAGTTTTTAGTTAATAGCTTATTCTAAAATTATAAATAAGATATTTTTATTTATATTTTCTTCTAATATAAGATATTAAAATTTAATAAAAAAAATATTAAATTTATAATAAATTTATTAAAAATAAAATAAATTAGTATAAATATTAACTTTTAGATTTAAATTTTTAAAAACTTTCTTTAAGATTTCTAAAATCTTAATATAATTATTTAATTTATAAATTCTATTTTAAATATATAATAAGATTTAGATATATAAAGTTTCTTTAAGATAACTAGTTATATAAGCTATTCTATTATTTAGGGTTAGAAAATAATCAAGATTTATAATTATTTTCTAGTAAATTTAAAAAATAAAATATCTTAAGTTACTTTATTAATTATTAAACTTATTAAAATTAAAAAGTTATTTAAAAGTTTAAATAATAGAAATAAATATAATAAGAGTAATAATAATAGTAAGAGAAATAGTAATATTAGTATTTCTTTTAAAAGAAAATAATAATTAAAAAAGTATATTATTTTAAATAAATACTTTAAATAACTTCTATTAAGTTTTTTTAGCTTATATCTTTTAATACTTAATTATATTATTTTTTTATTAAATATAGTTAAAAAGATTAGTAATAATAAAATATAAAGTAAATAATTTATAGAATTCTTTTATAGTAGTAGTAAAGAATTAATATATCTTAATAATATATTATCTTAATTTATTAGGGGTATTATATAGGAGGGTTTTTATATTTTTAAATAATATAGATAATAAGGTAAGTATAATAATAATAATTAATTCCTAGTAAAGAGGAATTATATAATATTAGGGGATAAAGTTAGATTTAGATATTTATTAACTAGAAGCTAACTAAATAGAATAGTAGAATAATAGGTATTAGATAATAGATAGGATATAGCTTAAAGAGCTATAATAAGATTAAGGATAATATAGCTTAAATATAGGAATAAGGGTGGATAGTCAAGGCAGAATCTAACTAAATAAGTACTACAGCTTCGCGCCATGACATATTTATAAATTTAAATTATTTAAAAATATAAAAATCTATTTTATATTTAATATATTTTTATTTTATCTTATTATTAATAATCTTTTATTTAATTAATATCTTAATTTATTATTACTTATTAAAGTAAAAGAATTAAAAAAATAAGAAATTAAGAAAGTTTTTAATTTTTAATAAATTTATTAAGATTATAGTAAATCTAAGCTATAATATATTATTAAATAAATTAAATATAATAAGCTAATTAAAGAGCCTGCTAAATATTTAGAAAATATTTATTAATTAATAAATAATTATTATCTTTATTATTTTAAAAAGTCCTAATTACTTCTTCCTTAATCTTAATAAAGCTTAACTTTAAGAAGGGGGGTACTATTATAGTATAAAGTTATAATATTTATTTAATTAGATTCTATCTTAATTATCTATCTTTATTCCTATATTTAAGCTATATTATTCTTAATTCTATTATAGTTTTTTAAGCTATGTCCTATCTATTACCTGATACCTACTATTCTGCTGTTCTGTCTGGTTAGCTCCTAGTTAATGAATATCTGAATCTGACTCTGCACCCTGACAGTAACTATATAACATGCAACCACATGCTAAACTACATGCTAAACCACATACCAAGTAACCAAGGATATTCAAGAGAGCAGTAATAATTAACTTACCTATATTATACTAGTAACTCAACCAGGCAATATAAATAGTAATATAATAACCCCCTGAAGTACTAAGAGGCAAGCATTTTATTTTGTTACTTCTAATACCTTCTTACTATCCTTGTACTACGTGTAGCTTTGTTTCCTTTACCAATACTATCTATACCCAAGCATCTCGCCAGCGAGATGCTTACAAATATATTAATTTATTAAGAGGAATTTTTAAAATATAGGTTAGATTAAGAAATATATATATAAAAGAGTATTTTTTTAAAATATTTATATTATAATAATATCTTTATTTATTACTAATATATCTAGTAAATTATTTATTATTATTTATTATTTTATTTAAAATATAATATAATATTATTTATATCTTATTTAATAAAATATAATTAAAGAAAATAATATTCTATATATTATTATTATTTCTAGTATTAAATAAAAAAAGTAGATTATATTATATTAATTAAGACTAGCTCTCTCTTAATAAAGTATTAAATTAGATTAGGTATAATATATATAGTATATAGATATATTATTAAGGAGAGAGAAAATAATTATTATAATAATTATATATTAAGTAATTAAGAATAATTAGAAAAATAGTAATAATTAAGTTATTTATATTATACTAGTAACTTAACTAGATAATATAAATAATAATATAATAATCCCTAAAATACTAAAAAGTAAGTACTTTATCTTATTACTTCTAATACCTTCCTACTATCTTTGTACTCTGTGTAGCTTTGCTTCCCTTACTAACCCTACCCATACCCAAGCGCCTTGCCAGCGAGACGCTTACAAACATGTCTAAACTATTGGACCAAAAGGTCACTATGATCAGACCTGATATCTGATCTACCCGAATCCCACCTTATATATCTAGTAATTTAATTACCTTAGTACCAGTATATCTAGTACATGTTGTAACAACTATCTCCTTCCTTAAGATAAGGCTTGACTGCAAGCCGACTAGCATATATTCAGTAGGGACCCCCAGCCCTAAGCTAGCTAGGCTAAGCTAAGCTAAGCTAAGCTAAGGACTGTGAGCAGGTAGGCGTGGTTCAAATCTGGTAGCGCAACCAGGTCTAGCGGGATCCAACCCAGCCCTAGCACCCAGATTTCCTCATCGTCATCTTCCAATTCCACCATACCGCCCCCAACACGCTGCACATTAAGCAGCCGAAAAACGTTGCAATTGATAGAACGCAACAACCTCTCTGTCTGATCTTCAGTCTTAAAGCGACGAAGGAAGATCTCAGTGGCATGAGTCTACCTTGCGCAGGCTGCAACACCAGCGGCCCTGCCAGACATAGCCTGGATCTCTCCAAGGCCGGGATGTACTAGCAGGACCACTGGGAAACACTTCTTATGCAGACGGGCGTACTGAGTGTACTACTATCCTAGGTTTGGACGCATATAAGAATGGACCTCTACCGGACTATTATTCCTATGCTACCAGGACTTGGCGCATCGCAGGCAACACGGCGTCCACGTGACGGCGGACGAACCAGCGGGAGCAACCGGAGCGACCGGAGCCAGGATAACTGCTGGGGCAGCGGGGATGACGGGAGCCGGTGCAACGACAACGGCCGGAGCAGCCGGAGTCACAGGAGCAGATGTGGCGGCGGGAGAGACAGCAGGGGTCACCATAATGCTGGGGGTGACAGCAGCAGCGGAGGACACAGGGGAGACGGTCCCACCAGATGACGAAGCAGCGGCGGCGGGGACCCCGAGAGACGACGCAGCGGCAGGTGTTGCAGGCACCACGGCCGGCATAGGTGCGGGGGGGTTCGACGCGGGAACCTACGAACAGTCAGTACGACAGATCTGCGCCGCCAGAACGAGAACACCCACAGAGGAGGAGGATGCTCTTACAAGTAACTATGATCAGACCTGATGGGTAGATGGCTGTGGTTCGAATCCGGCTGGTGTCATTGTGCGACAATGATAATCAAGTCCTAGGGTTGGGTAGTCCCACTAGACCTGAATAGGTGCTAGGGTCGGTAGAGAGTCCCACTAGGCTGAATAGGTGCTAGGGCTGGGTTAAAAATCCTGCTAGACCTAAATAGGTGCTAGGGCTAGGTTCCCTGCTAGACCTGGTTGCGCTACCAGATTTGAATCACGCGGCCACGCCTATCCATGCCTTTCTGCCCATCTAAACTGCTACCTGCTTTAGATGCGCCACACATTCTTCGTGATTATATATTCTTCACAATTTTTAATATTTTAACTTATTTTTATTATTATTATAATATAATATACCTAAATCTCTAGATTTTAATAAATCTTACTTACTTGAAGCTATTATTATAATTTAAAAGTAAAAAAAACCAAATATTATAAAGATTATATAAGAATTTAATATACTTAATTTTATATTTTAAATATACTTTAAAAAACTAAAGATACTAGTAATATTAATAATAATAAATAAGAATCTTTTATAGCTATATTAGGAGAAGGCCTTAATTAACTAGATTATATAAATATAAAAATAAAATATCTTATTAACTTTTATAATTATTATAATATAGGTAAATTAAATACTTATTTATATAGGATTAGATAAGTAAGTTAGTAAAATATAGTTATATTAATTTAAATTATATATACTAGTAGATCTAGAACTTACTTTAATAAAGTAGAAGACTAAGAAATTAAGATAAATATAAGTAAAGAATACTAGCTTACTTTAATACTAGTATAATCTTTTAAAATTACTTTTTTATAAGGTTCTAGCTTGCCTTATTTATAACTTTAATAAATATAATTTCTAACTAGATAAAGATTATAATAGAAAGGTTTTTAGAGATCCTAAATGTCACGGCGCGAAGCTGTAGTACCTATCTAGTTAGATTCTGCCTTGACTGTCTACCCTTATTCCTATATTTAAGCCATATTATCCTTAATCCTATTATAATTCTTTAAGCTATATCTTATCTATTATCTAATACTTACTATTCTACTATTCTATCTAGTTAGCTTTTAATTAATAAATATCTAAATCTAATTTTACTCCCTAATATTATATAGCTCCTCTCTATTAGGAATTAATTATTACTATTATACCTACCTTATTATCTATATTATCTAAAAATATAAAAACCCTCCTATATAATACCCCTAATAAATTAAGATAATATATTATTAAGATATACTAGTTCTTTACTATTATTATAGAAGAACTTTATAAATTATTTATTTTATACTTTATTATTACTAATCTTTTTAATTATATTTAATAAAAAGATAGTATAATTAAGTACTAGAAAATATAAATTAAAGAAATTTAATAGGAATTATTTAAAATACTTATTTAAAATAATATACTTTTTTAATTATTATTTTTTTTTAAAAAAAATACTAATATTATTATTTTTTTTATTATTATTATTATTCTTATTATATTTATTTTTATTATCTAAATTTTTAAATAATTTTTTAATTTTAATAAGTTTAATAGTTAATAAAATAATCTAAAATACTTTATTTTTTAAATTTATTAAAAAATAATTATAAACCTTAATTATTTTCTAATCTTAAATAATAGAATAATTTATATAACTAGTTACCTTAAAGAAACCTTATATACTTAAATCTTACTATATATTTAAAATAAAATTTATAAATTAAATAATTATATTAAGATTTTAGAAATCCTAGAAAAAGCTTTTAAAGACTTAAATTTAGAAATTAATATTTATATTAATTTATTCTATCTCTAATAAATCTATTATAAATTTAATATCTTTTTTACTAAATTTTAATATCTTATATTAAAAGAAAATATAAATAAAGATATCTTATTTATAATTCTAGAATAAATTATTAGTTAAAAATTTTAAAAAATATTAATATATTTTAAAACTTTATTATAATATTATAATTTTATTAATTATCTATAAAATCTAGAAAACTATTACTACTATTATATAAGTATTATCCTATTCTTATTTATAAAGAATTTCTAGCCTTCTTAATCTATTTTAAAGCTAATTCCTACTACCTAAATTCCTATAGATTCTATTAATCCTATTATTACTACTACTTTTATTAAAGATCTAATAGATTTATCTACTATTTATTACCTTAATTATTAAACCTAATATTTATATTATTACTATAGTAATATTAATTATCTAGTAGGTAGTTATTTATACCTTAACTAAAGATTAACTAGCTATATTTTTATATTTATTACTAAACTAGATCTATACTCCCTATTAATTAAAATCTTGCCTATTAAATACCTTATATCCCCTAAATTAGAAAATAGAGTATCCCTAACCTAAACTATAATTAAGAATACCCCTAGTACTCCCTTTATCTATTAAAAGCTATAATAGCTAGAATAATAATAGAGGAGAAAAGTTATTAATTTAAATTAATAATTTTATTTATTAATTTAAAAATTTTTAATAAGACTTTATTAATTTTTATTATAATTAATTCTAGAGTTAAGAATAAATATTTTATAAATTATAATTAAGTTATAAATAATTAACTAGAAATATTATTATTAAGAAATCTTATTTTATTAAGAAGATTTAATAATATTTTAATAAAATCTAATTATATTATTTATTTTATTTATTTAATTTAAAAAATTTATAATTATACTAAAAAAAATACTACTTTTTTTATAATTTAATTTATATATTTTTTTATTATTTTTAATTTATCTTAATTAAAAATTTATAACTCTTAAATTAAATTTACTAATTATATTATTTTATTTAAAAGCTTTTATTATAAAAAATACTATAATATATTTTTAAAATTTATAAAGATTTTAATATTATATAATATATTACTAAAAATTTCTTTCTAATATCTTAACTCTTACCTTAAACTTCTAAAGAATTAAAATATTACTAGAGTCTTAATTACTACCTATACTATATATACCTGCTATAGATACTAGATATTTATTACTATTATTATAGATATTAAAGCTACTTTAAATTTTATTATTATTATTAAATCTAAGTTATAAGAGTAATTACTTCTTAAATTTACTAAATTTTATAATATATTCTTACTAAAGAAGGTTAAATACCTGCTATTTTATTAATCTAATAATTATAAGATTAAATTATTACTTAGAAAAATCTTACCTTTTAAAATTCTATATAATATATTCTAAGATAAACTAAAAGTTTTAAAAAAATAAATTAAAGAGAATTTAAAGAAAGATTTTATTTATTTTAATTTTTTTTTTATTATATTCTCTATTTTATTTATAAAAAAATTTAGAAAAAACCTATAATTCTATATAAATTACTAAGCTCTAAATATAATTATTATAAAAGATTATTATTTATTACTATTAATAAAAGAGATACTAAATAATCTAAAAAAAATAAAATATTTCTTAAAAATTAATATTATCTCTATTTTTAATAATCTATAGATTAAAAAAGAATAAGAATATCTTACTACTTTTTAAATTTAATTAAGCTTATTTAAATTTTTAATAATATTATTTAAACTTACTAGAACCCTAATATTATTCTAGAGATTTATTAATAAAGCTTTATATAATTATTTAAATATTTTTTATATTATATATTTAAATAATATTCTAATTTATAGCTAAATCTATACTAAATATACTTATTATATTTAATAAGTATTAAAATATCTATAAGTAATAGAACTTTATACTAAATTTAGTAAATATAAATTTTTTATATGCAAGATAAAGTTCTTAAAACTAATTATAGATAAAGATAGCTTCTAAATAAATCCTAATAAAGTAAAAATAATTATTAAATAAGAAATACTAACCTATCTAATTAATATTTAAGTCTTTATTAGCTTTAGGAACTTTTATTACTAATTTATTTATAATTTTTTAAAAATTATTAGATTATTAGTTAACTTAATTAAAAAAGATATTAACTTTAACTAAATATTTATTTATTAAAAAATATTTAAATAATTAAAAGCTACTTTTATAAATATTTTAATATTAAAATTTTTTAACTAGTTAAAAAATATAATTCTAGAAATTAATATCTTTAATTATATATTTATTAAAATATTATTATAATATAATAATAAAAATATATTATATCTTATTATATTTTTCTTTAAAAAATATTTTATAATAAAATATAATTATAAGATTTATAATAAAGAATTATTAATTATTATTTATTACTTTAAAAAATAGTATCCTAAACTAGAAGGAACTCTATTACTTATAAAGATTATTATAGATTACTAGAATCTAGAATATTTTATATTAATTAAGCTACTAAATTATTAATAAGCTTGCTAGTCTAAATTTTTATTAAAATTTAATTTCTAAATATATTATTATTTTAGGAAGTTAGATACTAAGCCTAATATATTAATTAGGAAATTAGAGGACCTATTTAAAAAGGGGAATAAATAATTTCTTTATTAGAGTTAGATTATTTTAAAATCTAAAAACTTACTATCTAAGACTATTACTAATCTAAGACTAAATATTAATAATTAATACTAAGTATACTTTACTAAATAACTTATTACTAATAAACTAATCTCCCTACTACTAATATTATAATTATTATTTAATAGAGCTTATCTATAAGATAAGAAGCTCTAATTTATTCTAAATATCTTAAAGAATAATTTATTAAGATATTCTAATATTATACTAGTTAATTATAAATATATTAATTTATATTTAAGATATTAAGATTAACTTTATATATTTAATTATAATAAGATAAAAGCTAAAATACTAAAACTCTATTATAAAAATCTTATTATTAAATATTCTAAAAAAACTAAAATATATAAATTAATATTATATAAATATTTCTAGCCTAGGATTTATAAGTATATTAATTAATAAATCTAGAATTATTACTTTTATTACTAAATTATTTCTTTTTAAGAAATAAAGTAAAAAATATTAAGATTTTTATTAATTTTTAAATATATCTAATAAGATATAAGTATAAATTTTATTATATACTTATTATTAAATAATAGCTATAATACTATTCTAGTTATAATTAATTATTTAATAAAGATAAAGTACTTCCTCCTTTATATTAAAATAATTAATACTAAAGAAGTAATTAATCTATATCTTAAATATATTTAAAAGCTTTATAATATTCTTAAAATAATTATATTAAATTATAAAATCTAATTTATTATTATCTTTTAGAAATACCTAATATCTTACTTAAAAATCTATAATCTATTATCTATTACTTATTACTTTAAAACTAATAATTAAACTAAATATATTAATATTATTTTAGGATAATACTTATAAATATATCTATTATACTTATAAGATAATTAGTCTAAATAATTATTAATAATTAAATTTATTACTAATTCTATCTACTCTAAGTCTATAAAAGTATTATTATTTATAGCTAATTATAGATTTTATCTAATATTAAGGTTTAAATTAAGCTACCTTACTATTTATCTTACTAAGAAAGATACTAAGAAATTTACTAATATTATATATAAGATTTATAAATTTATCTATACTAAAATCTTATTTATTTAAGCTTATTATAAAGTATAAGCTAATTACTAAAGATAACCTATATATTACTATATTATAGGGTAAGAAATCTAGCTAGATATCAGGGGGCAGAGTCGGATTCAGATATTCATTAACTAGGAGCTAACCAGACAGAATAGCAGAATAGTAAGTATTAGGTAATAGATAGAATATAGCTCCAAGAACTATAATAGGATTAAGAATAATATAGCTTAAATATAGGAATAAGGATAGATAATTAAGGTAAAATTTAACTAGATAGGTATTATAGTTTTATATTATAATAATACCCCCTTTCTTAAAGTTAAGCTCTATTAAAACTAGGAAGGAATTAGCTAGGGCTTTTTAAAATAATAAAGATAATAATTATTTATTAATTAATAAATATTTTCTAAATACTTAACAGGCTCTTTAATTAGCTTATTATATTTAATTTACTTAATAATATATTATAGCTTAGATTTACTATAATTTTAATAAATTTATTAGAAATTAAGAATTTTTTTAACTTCTTATTCTTTTAATTTTTCTACTTTAATAGATAATAATAGATTAAGATATTAATTAAATAAAGAATTATTAGTAGTAGGGTAGAGTAAAAATATATTAAATATAGAATAAATTCTTATACTTTTAGATAATTTAAGTTTATAAGTATATAGGCTAATAATTCTTTTAATATAATATAGTCTAAAGTTCTTTTAATCTAATTTTTTTTATAAGTAGAGTATTTAAATATTATAGATATCTAGCTAGACTTCTTATCCTATAATATAGTAATATATAGATTATCTTTAGTAATTAACTTATACTTTATAATAGGCTTGAGTAGATAAAATTTTAATATAAATAAATTTATAAATCTTATATATAGTATTAATAAACTTCTTAATATCTTTTTTAATAGAGTAAATAATAAGATAACTTAATTTAAATCCTAATATTAGATAAAATCTATAATTAGCTATAAATAGTAATACTTTTATAAACTTAGAATAGATAGAATTAATAATAAATTTAGTAATTAATAGCTATTTAAATTAATTATCTTATAAATATAATATATATACTTATAAGTATTATTCTAAAATAATATTAATATATTTAGTTTAATTATTAGTCTTAAAATAATAAATAATAAATAATAGGTTATAAATCTTTAGATAGGATATTAAATATTTCTAGAAAATAATAATAAACTAGATTTTATAATTTAATATAATTATTTTAGGAATATTATAGAGTTTCTAGATATATTTAAGATATAGATTAATTACTCTTTTAGTATTAATTATTTTAATATAAAAGAGGAAGTACTTTATCTTTATTAAATAATTAATTATAACTAGAATAATATTATAGCTATTATTTAATAATAAGTATATAATAAAGTCTATACTTATATCTTACTAGATATATTTAAAAATTAGTAAAGATTTTAATATTTCTTACTTTATTTTTTAAGAAAAAGTAATTTAGTAATAAAAATAATAATTCTAGATTTATTAATTAATATATTTATAAATTCTAGACTAGAAATATTTATATAATATTAATTTATATATTTTAATTTTTCTAGAATATCTAATAATAAGATTTTTATAATAAAGTCTTAATATTTTAACTTTTATTTTATTATAATTAAGTATATAAAATTAGTTTTAATATCTTAAGTATAAACTAGTATATTTATAATTAGCTAGTATAATATTAGAGTATTTTAGTAAATTATTCTTTAAAATATTTAGAATAAATTAGAGCTTCTTATCTTAAGAATAAGCTTTATTAAATAGTAGTTATAATATTAGTAGTAAGAAGATTAGTTTATTAATAGTAAGTTATTTAATAAAGTATACTTAATATTAGTTATTAATATTAAGTTTTAGATTAATAGTAATCTTAGATAACAGGTTTTTAGATTTTAAGATAGTTTAACTCTAGTAAAGGAATTATTTATCCCCCTTCTTAAATAAGTTTTCTAACCTCCTAGTTAGTATATTAAATTTAATACCTAATTTTCTAGAATAGTAGTATATTTAGAAGTTAAATTTTAATAGAAATTTAAATTAGTAGGCTTATTAATAATTTAATAATTTAATTAATATAAAATACTCTAAATTTTAGTAATTTATAATAATCTTTATAGATAATAAAATCTCTTTTAATTTAAAATATTATTCTTTAAAATAATAAATAATAATTAATAATTCTTTATTATAAATCTTATAATTATATTTTATTATAGAATATTTCTTAAAAAAAAATATAATAAAATATAATATATTTTTATTATTATATTATAATAATACTCTAGTAAATATATAATTAAAGATATTAATTTCTAGAATTATATTTTTTAACTAGTTAAAAGATTTTAATATTAGGGTATTTATAAAAGTAATTTTTAATTATTTAAATATTTTTTAATAAATAAATATCTAATTAAAATTAATATTCTTCTTAATTAAATTAACTAATAATCTAATAATTTTTAAAAAATTATAAATAAATTAGTAATAGAAATTCCTAAAATTAATAAAGATTTAAATATTAATTAAATAAATTAATATTTTTTATTTAATAATTATTTTTACTTTATTAAGATCTATTTAAAAGCTATTTTTATTTATAATTAGTTTTAGGAACTTTATCTTATATATAAAGAATTTATATTTATTAAATTTAGTATAAAGTTTTATTACTTATAGATATTTTAATACTTATTAAATATAATAAATATATTTAATATAGATTTAGTTATAAATTAGAATATTATTTAGATATATAATATAAAAGATATCTAAATAATTATATAAAACTTTATTAATAAATCTCTAGAATAATATTAGAGCTCTAGTAAGTCTAAATAATATTATTAAAGATTTAAATAAGCCTAATTAAATTTAAAAAATAATAAAGTATTTTTATCTTTTCTTAATTTATAGATTATTAAAAGTAAAAATAATATTAATTTTTAAGAAATATCTTATTTCTTTTAGATTATTTAGTATCTCTTTTATTAGTAGTAGTAAATAATAATCTTTTATAATAATTATATTTAGAACTTAATAATCTATATAGAATTATAGGCCTCCTCTAGATTTCTTTATAAATAAAATAGGAAATATAATAAAAAAGAAATTAAAATAAATAAAATTTTTTTTTAAATTCTTTTTAATTTATTTCTTTAAAATTTTTAATTTATCTTAGGATATATTATATAGGCTCTTAAAAAATAGGATTTTTCTAGGTAATAATTTAATCTTATAATTATTAGATTAGTAAGATAGCAGGTACTTAGCCTCCTTTAATAAGAATATATTATAGAATTTAATAAACTTAGAGAGTAATTACTCTTATAACTTAGATTTAATAATAATAATAGAATTTAAAATAATTTTAATATCTATAATAATAGTAATAAATATCTAGTATCTATAATAAGTATATATAGTATAAATAGTAATTAAGATTCTAGTAATATCTTAGTTCTTTAAAAATTTAGAGTAAGGATTAAAGTATTAAAAAAAAACTTTTAATAATATATTATATAATATTAAAATCTTTATAAATTTTAAAAATATATTATAGTACTTCTTATAATAAGAGCTTTTAAATAAAATAGTATAATTAATAAATCTAATCTAGAAATTATAAATCTTTAATTAAGATAAATTAAAAATAATAAAAAAATATATAAATTAGGTTATAAAAAAAATAATATTTTTTTTAATATAATTATAAATTCTTTAAATTAAATAAATAAAATAAATAATATAATTAAATTTTATTAAAATATTATTAAATTTTCTTAATAAAATAAAATTTTTTAATAATAATATTTTTAATTAATTATTTATAGCCTAATTATAATTTATAAAATATTTATTCTTAACTTTAGAATTAATTATAATAAAAATTAGTAAAATTTTATTAAGAATTTCTAGATTAATAAATAAAATTATTAATTTAGATTAGTAACTTTCTTTCTTTATTATTATTCTAGCTATTATAGCCTTTAATAGGTAGAGAAAGTACTAGGAGTATCCTTAATTATAGCTTAGGTTAAAGATATTCTATTTTCTAATTTAGAGAATAAGAAGTATTTAGTAGGTAAGATTCTAGTTAATAGAAAGTATAAATCTAGTTTAATAATAAATATAGAGATATAGCTAGTTAATCTTTAATTAGGATATAAGTAGCTACTTATTAAATAATTAGTATTACTATAATAATAATACAGACATTAAATTTAATAATTAAAGTAATAAGTAATAGATAAGTTTATTAAATCTTTAATAAGAGTAATAGTAATAATAGAATTAATAAGACCTATAGGAATTTAAGTAGCAGGAATTAGCTTTAAGATAGATTAGGAAGGCTAGAAATTCTTTATAAATAGGGATAAGATAGTACTTATATAATAATAATAATAATTTTCTAGATTTTATAAGTAATTAATAAAATTATAATATTATATTAAGGTCTTAAAGTATATTAATATTTCTTAAAATTCTTAATTAATACCCTATTTTAAAATTATAAATAAGATATTTTTATTTATATTTTCTTTTAATATAAAATATTAGAATTTAATAAAAAAGATACTAAACTTATAATAGATTTATTAAAAATAAAATAAATTTGTTATGGTGTAGCTGTATACCTATCTAGTTAGATTCTGCCCTAACTATCTACCTCTACTCCTATATTTAAGCCATATTACCCCTAATCTTATTATAGCTCTTTAAGCTATATCCTTATCCTAACCTAATCCCTACCTATTATACCTATATATAAATAGCCTGAATATATATCTTATTATTAACTATATTTACTACCTACCTACTCTCTATAATATTATATAGCTCTTATCCTAGGTATAGCTACTACTAGTATATTAAAATAACCTAAATTATTCTTAATTATAGACTTAATTAAAAAGTTTATAAGCTATATTATTAATAATCTTACTACTTAGATTATTTACTTTAAATCTTATAATAAATATACTAATTTTCTAAAGAAAGAGATTTATACCCTCTAAAATTAAGCTAATAAAGCTAGCCTAGAGCTAGCTAAGAAGAAGAGAATAATACTATACTAGAAGGAAGAACTAGAAGTAATTTAATAAAAATTAATTAAATTTAAATATATATTTACTATATTATAAGTTATTATTACCTTTATTATACTTATTTCTATTATTACTCTTATTTCTACTAAATATACTCCTCTTATTAAAGTTATAGTAGCTAATATAATAAGAATATCTATACTTATTTCTACTAGCCCTTTTTTTAATATCTATTTTAGTAAGAAACTTCCTAATTTATAAGAATTTAATAATACTTATTTTAATTTTTATTATTTTATATAATAAATCTATAATAAAATAAATATTAATCTAGATTATTTTCTAGCTACTAAAGCCTAACTAACCTATATAATAGGATATTTAATTAGAAAGACTTATAAATTAATCTTATTTAAAATAAGATTTAGTATCTTCTAGTTCTTAAATTATTCTAATTTACTTAATTATCTAGAAATAATATTTAGAGACCCTAATTAAGTTTAAAATACTTAAAATTACCTCTATAATTAGAAATAAAGAAATTTAGATTTTAGTACTTACTTTATAAAGTTCTATTATCTTATTTTAAAAGGAAAAATACTTAATAACTCTTTAATATTCTTTCTAATCTAAAATATTTTAATTAAATTTTAAGATATATTACTTTATAATCCTGCCCTATTTTAAGATTTTTAAGAATATACTAACTATCTCTAGTTACTAGAAAATTATTATTATTAATACTAGCTATAAGTATCCTATTTTTACCTAATATCTAGTTCCTACTATCCTAGCCTAATAATATTAAGAAATCTCCTTAATTTTATCTTATCTAGTTACCTAGTTATACCCCCCATACCTAGAAAAGATTTAGATACTATAGATCTATCTTATACTTACTATATACTATATTTCTCTAGAGAAGAATAATATAAATATAAGAAATATTTTTATTATAAAAATAAAGTATATTATATAAAGAATTATTTCTTACTTAACTAATATTTTATATAAATCTAAGAATAAATAAATATACTAATATATTATTTTAGCTTAATCTTTATTATAATATTACCTATTTTCTATATTATAGCTTAGAATAATTACTTTACTATCTTAAAAAAACTTAATTAACTATACTCCTCTAATATCCTGCTTAACTTAAAAAATAGAGTTTGCCTAGCTATAGTTACTACCTAATACTAGAACATGTGTAGAAGCTCTTATTACTAGATATATTATTCTATCTATCTTATATTATTACTAAATTAACTAACTCCCCTAATCCCTATTATATATATACTAATCTAATAATATAGCAAGTATAATTATACTAAAAAAATTTAAAAATACTAACTTATATTATAACTAATTCTAGAATTAAAGGAGTTAGCTTTATAGATTACTAATAAATAAAAATATATAGACTAAAGATTATTCTACTTCCCTATTTAATATTCCTATCTAGCTTCTATAGTAAGAAAGTAGAAGAAAGTATAGTAATATATTATATAAAGGCTAATTTATTATTAAATAATTATTATAACTAGAAATCTATCTTTTATATTACCTATCTTTCCTACTACCTAATTATCCTAGGACTAGTCTAGCTTACTATATATAACTTAAAGATATATTTCTCTAACTAAATAGCTATATTTAATAGCTAATATTACTATAAATACTATAATATACCTTTTAAGTTTATAAGGGTAAGGATCTTAATAGATATTTTCTAGAAAAATTAACTTAAGTAACTAAATTAATAAAAAGAATTACTAGAGTTAAAATTCTCTATATTTATAGAAATATATTAAATATTCTTAAGAGTACTAGTTATATATACCTATTATTTAGTATAGAAATTATACTAGATTTTATTAGATAAAATTAATAAAGAATTAAAATATAAAAATACTAGTTCTAAATTATTATTTATACTTTTTCTAGAATTATAAAATTTTTAAGATATATTTAATTTCTAAGAAATAGAGAAGCTATTATTATATTAATTATATAATTATAATATTAAGATTTAAGAAGAAAAATAATCTTTATTTAGTAAATTATATTTAATATTATAAATATAATTAATTATTTTAAAGAAATAACTAGAAGAGAACCTAAAGAAAGATTTTATATATTTTAGCTTATTTTTAGCTATTTTTTCTATTCTATTTATTAATAAACCTAGAGATAGCCTTTATTTATATATAGATTATTAAGGACTAAATATTATATTAATTAAGGATTACTATCTATTATTTCTAATTAAAGAAATCCTAAATAATTTATAGAAAATATAGTACTTCTTTAAGATTAATCTAGTAGCTATCTTTAATAATATTTATATTAAGAAGGAGTTAGAGTACCTAATTACTTTTTAAACCTATTTTAAGTTATATAAGTCTTTAATTATACTATTTAGCTTAACTAGTACTCTAGCTATTTTCTAATATTTTATAAATAATATCCTATAATAATATATAAATATATTCTATAATATATTCTTAAATAATATCCTAATCTATAATTATATAAAAAAAGAATATACTAAATACTTAAAATAAATATTATAAATTTTAAGAAATAATAACCTATATATAAAAATATTTAAGTATAAATTTTATTAGCTAGAAGTTAAGTTTTTAAATATTATTATTAGAAAAGAAGATACTTATATAGATCTTGAGAAGATTAAGATTATAGTAGATTAGAAACTATTTAAAATAATTATTAATATTAAGAATTTTATAAAATTTACTAGATTTTACTAATACTTTATTAAAGAATTCTTATAGATTCTTATACTTATTACTACTTTAGAAAAAAAAGGAACCCTATTCTTATAAACTCTAACTTACTAGATTATTTTTAAAATACTAAAAGTAGAATTTATTAAGAAATTAATATTAAAATCTTTTAATTAAAGTTAATTAGCTATTTTAAAAACTAATATCTTAGATTTTATATCTACTAAAGTATTATTATAATATAATAATAATAAAATTCTATATCTAGTAAGATTTTACTTAAAAAAAATAACTTTAATTAAGTATAATTATAAGATATATAATAAGGAGTTACTAGTAATTATTTATTATTTAAAAGAATAAATCCTAGAACTAGAAAGATATTAATATTTAATTAAGATTATAATTAATTATAGAAATCTAGAATATTTTATAATAATTAAAATACTAAACTAATAATAAGCCTAATAATCTAAATTCCTATCTTACTTTAACTTTATAATTAATTATTACCCAGGTAAATATAAGATAAAACTAGATAATTTAACTAGGAGATTATAAGATCTTCCTAAAAAGGAGAATAAATACTTACTATACTAGAGTTAAATAATATTAAAAAGAAAAAACTTAGCAAGCTTCTTACCTAAATATTTAGAGAAGTTATAAAGTTAGTAGATATTATAATTAATCTAGCTCTAAACTACTACTAGAAGGAAGTTAATATGCTTCTAGCTACTTAAGCCTAAAGAAAAAGAAATTATCTAGCTTCTTAAATAATTAAGAGAGTACCTAAATAAAGATTATAAATAAAATCTAGCTTTTAATAATATTTTAGAAAGTCTAGAAAAAAATTATAATTACTATTTATTAATTATATTATTTAAGTATACTTACTATTCTAAATTTCTATTTTACTATAATTAACTATATATCCCTAATATAAAAAAATTAAAGGTAAAATTAATATATAAATATTATAAGAGTATAATTACTAGTTATTAAGATAGATTAAAAATTTATAAATTATTATTATAATTATATTACTAGTCTAGAATACTATAATTTATAGAGTAATAAGTTTATAATTACTATATTTATAAATAATCTATATCTTATTAAAATAGGTATTAAGGAGTATTCTATTCCTTATTTATACTTAAGAATCTCTAGAGAGATATATTTATTAATTTTATTATATATTTACTCTAAAATTTAGACTTTAATATTATTATAGTAGTAGTTAATTAATTAATAAAGTTTTAATATTATATTCCCTATAATAGTATCTATAATATTAAGAGAGCTACTTACTTATTTTAAGATTATATTTAGAAATTTTATAAATTTTTTAAGTCTATTATATTTAATTAAGAATTCTAATTTATATTAATATTCTAGATATACTTAAATTATATTC